AGATAGATATATAGACAAATAGATATATAGACAAATAGATAGATAGATAGAGAGAGAGAGAGAGAGAGAGAGAGAGAAACCGAAAGAGAGGGAGAGAGAGAGAGAGCGAGAGAGAGAGAAAGAGAGAGAGAGAACGAGAGAAATAGTGAGACGACTTGCTAACCTTCCCACCACCCCCCTCTCCTCTCCCGCACACAGAGAACCCGCTGACTTGCGACTGTCGCATGAAGTACGTGACCAAGGTCAGCTACGGAGTGCTGGGACGCTGCGATGCGCCTGCGATGATGCGAGACCAGGAGCTGTCCAACCCGACCACGCCCTGGCACGCTGTGACATGCACAGGAGACGAGGTGGTGAGTACAGAGAGATCGCGAGGGCGATAATAATAATAATAATAGACATCTGAGAGAGATAATATAAGGATAAAGATAAAAATTTTGTCTCCGACAATGGTGTTCAAACTCCGGTTTTGCTCCAGGCATATTATATATTATTGATGTGCGTTAGAAGGTGCAGGAACGAATTAGTGAACCAAAATAGCCACTTAAAACTCTCGAACGAAACCTAATTCCAGGGAATCGAACACGACGGGATCTGCTACCCAACGCCCGCGCCGAAAACGGAACCAGAAGTGACACCGAAGCCGGAACCGGTGACGGAGTCCGAGCCGGAACCGGAACCGGAAACGAAATCGACTCTGTGGGCCGAGCCGGAACCGGAAACGGAACCTACGCCCAAGATGGAGCCCGAGCCGAGCCCGAAAACGGGTCCGAACGAGGTGCCGGAACCGGAACCAGAAACAGAAACCGAAGGCGAGTCCACAAAACCGGAACCAGAGGCGAAACCGGAACCAGAGGCGGAACCGGAAACAGAAACCGGAGGCGAGTCCACGAAACCGGAACCGGAGTCCGAACTGGAGAAGGAAACCGGAGGAGAGTCCACAAAACCGGAACTGGAGTCCGAACCGGAGAAGGAAACCAGAGGAGAGTCCACAAAACTGGAACCGGAGTCCGAACCGGAGAAGGAAACCAGAGGAGAGCCCGTGAAACCGGAACCCGAGTCCGAGCCGGAGAGAGAGACTGGAGGTGATCGTTTGACACCGGAACCGGAGTCGGTACCCGAGAGAGAGACCGGAGGTGACAGTATCAGGCCGGAGTCTGAACCCCAACCAGTCAAGAAGAAGAAGACGAAGGAGGAGAGGATGGAGAAGAGGAGGAGGGAAAAGGAAGAGAGGGAGAGACAGGAGAGGGAACGCGAGGAACACAGGAGGGAGGAAGCAGAAGAGGAAGAGAGGAAGCAGGAGGAAGAAGAGAGAAGGCAGGAGGAAGGAGAAGAGAAGGAGGAAGTGGAGAAGTCGCCGGCGGTGGAGGTCAAGGTCAACAAGCCCATCGAAGAGCCAAATGCGGAGCCGAAGAATGGCGTTGCCGCAGCAACCGCATCCGCCATTCTCGCCGCGTCGTTAGTTGGATCGGCGCTGATCGCCGCCGCATTGTAGGGGGCGCTGTGCGCGCGGGGAGCTTTATTCAGGGGGCGCTGCACGTGGGCGTGCCATCAGTCGTCCGATTTTCGTCAGCGCGAAAGCGGAAATTACGTAAATTGGCGGAAATTTAGTAAAAATACGTAAATTGACGTAAATTACGTATTTTGCCGAACACTTCGCGAAGAAACGGTTGTCATGATTGTTTATCGTGTCGATATTTATCTATAAAGGGACGGACTATAGAGGGAGGGAGGGAGTCAGAGAGGGAGAAAGGGAGGGAGGGAGGGAGAGAGGGAGGGAGTCAGAGAGGGAGAGAGGGAGGAAGGGAGGGAGGGAGGGAGTCAGAGAGGAAAAGAGGGAAGAAGGGAGGGAGGAAAGGAGTCAGAGAGGGAGGGAGGGAGGATGTCAGAGAGGGAGGGAGTCAGAGGAGAGAAGGAGGAAGGGACGGAGGAAGGAAATGAAGGATTGAGGGAGTCAGAGAGGAAGGGAGAGAGGGAGGAAGGGATGGAGTCCGGGAGGGGGTCAGAGAGGGAGGGAGGGGGTGACGGGGAATAAGTTGTAAAAACAGCGTAATGTACGTCCGTTAATATTTTCGCTGGTTGCAGTTCCCATCCAGTCCATCGTACACCGAACGTTTTCTGGCGCCACCTGGTGTGCATGTTCCGCAGCTGTCGACATGCACCTAACAACGATCGATAGCATAACTACGACTGAATGCTCTTTTGTACAGAATCAGCACCACCCGATGCAACACTGAAATCGTTTTAAGTGCAATATTGCGGTCGATAATTGAAATCTCATTTTGATTTGAAATATGAAACCGGGCAGAATCGATTTTATCAAATTGATTCGCAGAGAGGGGATGAGGTAGACGATAGAGAAGGGGTGGGGAAAGAGGGAAGGGGTTCTCCCAAGAGGGAAGGTTCTACTGTGTGACCCTCATGACCGCCTGACCTACGAAATCGAGAGAATATTAGATACCTAAGAGTCGATGTGTTAAATGTACATGTATGTAAATATGTACATGTACACGAATACGCGCGCGTATATGTCGTATGCACATGTCTATGCACGTGGTTAATTAGGTACACGTGTGTGCGTGCGTGCGCGCGCACGTGTGTGTGTTTCTGAGTTTGTATGTGTGAGTGTAAGTGAGTGTGTGTGTGCCTGTGAGTTCGTGTGTGCGTGTGTGCGCGCACGAACGTGTATATGTACGTGTACGTGTATATGTACGTGTATACCACCAATACACGGTTTTTACTACAACATAGCTCTAAATTACCGTGAAATTGTGCTGGAGTTGGAAGAATTCTAGATTAGTATGATGTCAGGGGGTTATTAGAGTTTATATGTATGTATATTTATGTATTACATTTGTGTTATATGTACATGTACATGTATGCATGTGTATGCTTTTGTATTTGTACATGTACGTGTATGTATGTGTACGTGTAAAAGTGCATGTATATGTATATGCGTACATGTACATACGCATATAGATCCATATATACACAGACACGCGTACACATATTTATATGTATATATATTATATATATATATATCAGAAGTGTAAAATTTCCTATTATCTACTTCTGATATCTACATAACCAATGGACCTTAGATAACATTATTGGCATAGATCGAGTTTTACTCGGTTCTAGTTTTTTCTTTTTTTATTCGTACTTTGTTATTGGTAATCGTTCCATCTTTGCGGGATACGAACGCGTGCATCAATAACGTCATCCGTGGCCTTAGTGACACAGATACAGCTAGTTGATGACGTCCTCCAAAATGTTGGTGACGTCAGCCCAACCTTTACAACGTCACAACTAACGCCTTCCCCACCATTGCTATCGTGGTGTCATAAACATAGAGACATCTGTATAGATGGCGACGCGTGCAGCATCGATGACGTCCCGCGCAACATTGGAGACGTCACGCGTAACGTCGACGAGGTCATACGTAACGTCACCCGTAACGTCGGTGACGTAATCTGTTACGGTGCTGTCGTCGTGGCACTTTTCGACGTCGCGGGTTCGCTGTGACCCCACTAACTCTGGCTGACCTTATTTGACCTGACCTGATGCTGTGACCCCGGGGTAAGCAGGGGTCAATGCCAGCTTCCTTTACTGCAGAAATTTTGATACGGATCGTGAATTGCGTGTAAATATGGGCCAGCTGCTGTTTCAACTGTAATACCAACATGGGTTACCAACCCAATGTTTCCACTGCACATTCACTCAACAACAAGGTGTATGTATGGTAACATAACAGTATATGAATAAATAAATAAATATATATATATATTTATTTATATATAATCAAGGGATAATAATAAATGTATTATTAGCTCTTGAAAGGATAATCAGGAGCGAACAGACAAAATTTGTTTTTTAATCGCTCCTGATGCAGCGTCGGCGTGCGTTTGTAATAATTTTGTAAGTGGTCTGACACTAGTTGTAGAAGAGGGTTTAGTTTTTACATGTGCGATACCCACGGTAGCCATAGAGTGTTAAAAAATACAAAATCGCAAGCATCGGTGACAGTAGTAATCAGCCCCAGGGAAAGCGAATGTGGAGGAATATGGAATATGGAATATGAAGGAATGTGGGATGTGGCAGAATATGGAGGAATGTGGGATGTGGAGGAATGTGGAATGTAGAATATGGAGGAATGTGGAATGTAGAATATGGAGGAATGTGGAATGTGGAGGAATGTGGGATGTGGTGGAATGTGGAAGATTCGCGACATTGCTTTATGACTCGATGTGACGTCGAGAAATAATGACGGGCTACGATTGGTCAGTCTTCAAATATGGCGAAAATAAGAGCTGTGAGAGATGTGAAGGGAGGTGTCAGCAGTTTGTCTTAGTTATGTAAGCGACAAATGTCTAACAGTATAAAGATTAATGTGTGTGCACATATATACATACCTACATACATATACACATACATACATTCCTACATACGTATACACACACATACATACATGCACGCACGCACGCACGCACGCACGCACGCACATTATATACATGCATATAATATATACTTGGATATTAGCTGAGAGATTAGTTTCATGTTGTGAACAGAATATTCCAGCCCGATTACAGAGACACCTGGTGGTAGGTGTGCACGGCCGAGTGTAGAGGGAGCCACTGAAATGGACGCTGATTGCGAAATAAAGCTTGCAAGTGTATAAAAATACCGAACGTCTTATTTTAGTCGCTTCTTTACTCACAGTATGCGCTGTTCGATTGTTCTCAGCTCCCGATTTGTTATAGGTAACGAGAAAAACTTGCTCGTCATTAAATCGAAGTCTTCATTTTAACTCTTTAAGTTGACTTTTAACCGGAACAAATATAAATCACATAGTTAGAGAAACTGATAGAATGTTAGAAAGAGTTACTAAATTTTATGATTCCATTTTAAATTCCCCTACATGATTAGTTATTCTCAATTTTTCATGATTCATGTTTTCTTTCATGATTCTTTCCTAGCTCGAAATGGCTGCTATGAGTGTTTAGCTGTGGTAAGCATGCTACCCCTGCCCTTCTGCCAGACTCAATCAACCAATAACTCGGATTTACACTCCAGCGTCACTGGCCTTCTGCCAGGCATAATCAACTGATAACTAGAATTTATACTCGAATGCCACTGGCCTTCTGCCAGACTCAATCTACCAATAACTCGGATTTACGCAGCCGGCTGAAAGGTGCGATAGGAAATGTTTACTAGGCACTTCTAATTTTAACATATATTTTACGATATATTAAAGAATGATGCAAAAACCCTAAAAAGTGCCCTTACCCTAACCCTAACCCTGATCCTAACCCTAACCCTGACCCTAATTAAATTAAAAATATATGTTAAAATTAGAAGTGCCTAGTAAACATATCCTATAGCACCTTTCAGCCGGCTGCCGGATTTACACTCCAGCGTCACTGGCCTTCTGCCAGGCATAATCAACTGATAACTAGAATTTGTACTCAAATGTCACTGGCTTTCTGCCAGACTCAATCAACCAATAATGAAGATCGAAACCGAACGACAGAATCCACGAAACAGATGACTCCCGACAAAGACGGAAAGATTTCAAAAACGTCCATCTTTATTACACGTTCACTCGATTTCTTACACCCACACACACAAAAAGCCCACCCAACAACCCCTCCCCCCGATCCCATCACCTCCCCCCACCCCTGCAGGACCACAAAGACGTGGAACCCCCATGAACCACCCCCAAAAGTGACCTTGACACGAGGTCACGGTGAGGTCATGCATCGACCGTTACCCATATTTACCTAAGCCTGCATATGCGAGCACCGCCTACATTTGCTAAACGATGAAAGAGCGCCACCTACATTTCGAAATGAGCCCTGCGGATGCTGAGCGGCACCACCTAGATTTCGAGACCCGTTCTACGGATGCTGCGTGGCGGCACCTACACTTCACGACCTGATCTACGGACGCTGCGTCGCGCCACCTACATATCCAAATCTCATCTACGGACGCTGTGTGGCGCCACCTACATTTCTCGACATGCACTGTTGACTCAGCAGTAGCGCAACCTATGTTTTGCGACCTGCACTACAGACGACGGATGCGCCTGATGGCATCCTGTGCGGGAAAGACTCGAGGTAGAGTCAGTAATAGGGGGCGGTAACATTCATGTAATAAATAGCAATATATCCACACGTCTGCGGGTGAGCAGGGCTTTTACCCGGTTTGTATCTCTCTCTCTCTCTCTCTCTCTCTCTCTCTCCTCTCTCTCTCTCTCTCTCTTTGTCTTTCTGTCTCTCTCTCTCTCTCTTTGTCTTTCTGTCTCTCTCTCTCACACACATTATCTCTGTTTGTATTTCTTTCTCAAACTTTCTCTCTCTCTCTCTCTCTCTCTCTCTCTCTCTAGCTGTCTCTCTATCTCTCCCCCCTCTCTCTTCCACTCTCTTTCCCACCCTCTCTCTCTCTATGTCTCTATCTTGCTCTCTCTTCCACCCTCTCTCTCTGAATTTCTCGCTTTCACTCACACTTTCTTTCTCTCTCTCTCTCTCTTCTCTACACGCACGTGTACATGCACACGCACGCACGCACGTGTACGTGCACACGCACACACGCACGCACGCACGTGTACGTGTCGCTGCTTTCATGAGTGTTGAACGCAATCATACAAACGAAAATGTGGACACTATCACATCCCCCAGCACTCATGTATGGGGCGCCAAGTGTCAATGATGGTGTCGAAATCATTGATTTCGTAACGAAATCAAGTCTACAAAGTCATTTCGTTACGAAATCAACTACTGCGAGTCATTTCGTTACGAAATCAGCTACTGCGAGTGATTTCGTCACGAAATCAAGTCTACAAAGTCATTTCGTTACGAAATCAACTACTGCGAGTCATTTCGTTACGAAATCAGCTACTGCGTGTCATTTCGTGACGAAATCAGCTACTGCGAGTTATTTCGTAACGAAATCATGCTATACTTGGCGCGCCGGCGCGCCAAGTGTCGCATGACTTTATTTCGTTACAAAATTATTGATTTCGTAGCGAAATCAAGTCTACAAAGTCATTTCGTTACGAAATCAACTACTGCGAGTCATTTCGTTACGAAATCAGCTACTGCGAGTGATTTCGTGACGAAATCAAGTCTACAAAGTCATTTCGTTACGAAATCAACTACTGCGAGTCATTTCGTTACGAAATCAGCTACTGCGAGTTATTTCGTGACGAAATCAGCTACTGCGAGTTATTTCGTTACGAAATCAAGTCTACAAAGTCATTTCGTTACGAAATCAAGTCTACAAGTCATTTCGTTACGAAATCAACTACTGCGAGCGATTTCGTGACGAAATCAGCTACTGCGAGTCATTTCGTTACGAAATCAGCTACTGCGAGTTATTTCGTTACGAAATCATGCGATACTTGGCGTGCCGGCGCGCCAAGTGTCGCATGACTGATTTCGTTACGAAATCAATGATTTTGTAACGAAATCTATGGGGCGCCAAGTGTAGCATGGGGGTACGTGCGTGTACCCGCGTGCACGTGCGTGTACCCACGTGTATGTGCGTGTACCTGCGTGTGCGTGCGTGTACCTGCGTGTACCCGCGTGCACGTGCGTGTACCCGAGTGTACGTACGTGTACCCGTGTGTACGTGCGTGTATCTCCGTGTACGTGCGTGTACCCGCGTGCACGTGCGTGTATCTCCGTGTACGTGCGTGCACCTGTAGGCGCGCAATGGGTTGGATTGATGGCCAAAGAATGGAGAATCGTGTCGTACGTTTTAGGCTGTATCTCCGGATTGCGAGTGTCTACGAGGAAACGATTTCGCACGATGATTGGCGAATGTACTGTGTCCGATTTGAGCTCAAGTTGGATGAGTTACGCGCAGTAAATCGTAGGTATTATAAAGCTAGTAAATGACGAGTTTGTAAGACGTAAATGTTTATTGATGTCACACTCCTTCCTATTATCTACTCCTGATATATT